ATATTACACATAGTACAAAATTTGTTTTTCTCGCATTTATAAAATAGTTATTGATTCAGAAAGACGAAAAACCACTTAAAATACAAACTATTAGAGCTCATCCCAAATGAAAAGCTAATTTGCTCAATATAATCCAGCAAATTCCCAAGAGATTTATCGTAATCACCTTTGATCCAAATATAGTTTAAATATTCAAAGATAGCGAGAAGAGCCCTAAAGATCTAACTTATGTAAAACTTTTAACCAACTTCCACACAAACACTATATTTTTAATATTGTACTTAATATTTGTTTAAAAACTACTCCTGCGGGTGCATAAAATTGAAATATTTTTGTAACCCAGTTATAATATACAAATGAGTCTATACTATTCTATTTATACAAGCATATGAAATCATCAGAAACTTCCAAATCTATAACTAACAAATACATGTTTTTAAATAAGTTACACAATAAAATTTATGTTATATTTAAATGTAATGTTTATTAATATACGGCTAATCATTCCCAAGTGCAATCACAATAAAAACACACTGTGGCTAATTAGTGGCAAGTGAATACAAAATCTATAATACTTTGTGGCTGTTATTATCAATCAAATAGAAAATAAATAATTTTAACGAGCGGGTCTTGATTTTTAAATCGAGTAATATGAATATGCTAAACTAATGGGAATAAACGCGTAATCAATAAGCGTTTAATCGTAAGTAATATCGATTCTATAAACAAAAAAAAAAAACAAAATCGTAATATTTTCAAAAAAATATATAATAAAAAAATCCGAGCAACTAAACGCTTAATAAATTATGAATAATTATTACATCGTAATTATCAATTTATGTATTTATTTCAATAAAATAAATAAATAAAAATTAAACGAGCTTGAACAATGTATGTAAGTTTATGTGAATTATTAAATGTTTCTATTTCCTTTCCCACTCATATCCAGCAATCGATCCAAATTTAGCTTGAGCCTTATTATTGCCTTTTATTAAAAATTATAACAGTCGCTTGAGCATAAGAGGTTTATGGAAAACTGAGAAGTATTTATTGCCAACTTAAAATTCTTAGGTGATAATAAAAAAAAATAATAATAATAATAATAATAATAATAATTATTATTATTATTATTATTATTATTATTGTTATTATTATTATTGTTATTATTGTTATTATTATTATTATTATTATTATTATTATTATTATTATTATTATTATTATATCGGTGAAGCTATTTTAAACTGTCATTTTGAAATCTTTTATATTACTGCATCTGCGTAGATAATAACATATCGGACGCGTTTAAAAATAAAAAAGAAGTAAAATATGACTCGCGTCATCGTCATCAATATAAAGTAATAAGAATAATAAAGATTTCGGATGCATCGATTTGGCTGTCATCGAGATCGAGCGCACTCAAAGTTTTCGCCTGTATGCACGAGGCGCCCCGGTTGCCAATATTTATCGAGTGCCTATTAATTACGTCCTCTAGTCGCATCCAATCGAATAGTACAGTTAAATTGATAATCGGACATACACTGTCATCGAATGAAGAATTGAAGCTTGAACTTTGACCTTCGAGCGAAGACGGATGAAGCCCGAACGCTAATGTGAATTTTCATAGCCAAAAACAAAACAAAAAAACAAAAAAAAAAACCGCTAATGTGAATTTTCATAGCCAAAAACAAAAAAACAAACAAAAAACAAACAAAAAAAAAACAAAAAAAAAACAAACAAAAACAATATTATTAAGTGTTTGAAACGATACAAGTTGGATAAAAGATATTCTCGAAGCGAATATAATACGTATATTATTGTATAAGCGATTACCAATTGCGATTGGATGTATTGTCAAACATTCGTACTTCAAGAGCACAAGCATGGATCGAAGGATTAACGTCAAAATACGAAGGCGACGAAGCTCTTCTTTTTAGATTTGTCCAAGTGAAAACTCCCGAGCGCGTATAAAAATGCCGAAATTTTTGATATTTTCAAATGACAGATTCATCCGTGCGATAATATGAGAAAATAGAGAATTCAAAATTACTCACCGAATGATATTATCCTGAATTTTGTTGTTTGTTTTTTTGTTATTGTTTTGATTTCGACGACGATACACAATGATTTTGATGTGTCGCTAAGAAGCAAACGAAGCAAGTGTCAAATGAATTGCTCAAACGCAGTCCTTCCCAATTAATCAACAATTTCTCAATAATATAATATGCAATGAGCTTGCAATAATAGAAGGCATACAATGCGTTTAAGTGAAAGTATTAAATGAATATGTGAAGATACGAAGAAAAGAAAAATAAAAATAAAATAAAAAACAAAAAACAATTAAACTACGCAAAACTAACGTTATACGTTACTTTCGAATTCTGCAGCTTAAGATATGATAAATGTGAAATTCGATAATAAAATAAAATCAATCTTTTTAAAGCTTTATTTATTTCGTTTCAAAGGATGAGACAAAAATAAATCAAACGTTGAAACTCTGGGTGATACTGTAGTTCCTATTAATTCTTCCAACCTTCGGGCGAATATCAAAGGCATAACATTTAACAAATTTATTCTTTTATAGAGCTTTTATCGAAGATGATGGAAAAGTTGTTGTTGTTGTTGTTGTTGTTGTTGTTGTTGTTGTTGTTTTCGTTTGTTTATTTATTTTATACAGTTTTATTAATATTTCATCCAAATAAATGTCCGTGTTGTCTTAATAACTGAAAGCTTATCTACAAAAATATTAATAAAATTAAATTAATCAAAGGTCAAGGAAATGATTAAAAGTTACACTAATTCCGAATTGACTAGGGAAGACATTTTTTGTGAACAATAAAAACAACGAATGAATAATTTAACGAAAGAGTAACGACAAACATTGCACACCTTGAAACCTTAAAAAAAAATATTCATATTAACATTCATTAGCCGAAAGTTACACATGTGCAAGAAAGAAATTGTTGTAAAAAAAAAAAAAAAAAAAAAAAAAAATTATTTTTAACTAAACGGCCGTAATAAATTACAACTACTGATGTTTTCGTTTAACATCGAATGAAAAAGTGCTTAGTTGTGCAAAATCATATACATTATGTAAAAATAACATTTCAAACAAATTCCTAGGCTCAAATCATATTGGCAATTAACGTAAAAAAGAATTTTCCCCTTTTCCTAAAGATTTATAATAGTATTCACTATGGATTAACAGACTCCATCGGCTAAATTGTTTTTTTTTTTTTTTTTTTTTTTTTTTTTTTTTTTTTAATGATAAAAATAGAATTTACTCATCTACGACACTATTATTTTATCAGGAGAGTGTAAGTGAAACAATATAGACCATGTAATACAATAATTATAGTTAAATAATTGCTCAAAGCCAGTTTCAAGATAAAAAATAAAGAAGAAACCATAAAATGTGCACGAGACATTAGCAAAAAATTCAAACACAATGTATCATGATCAAGTTTAATTTATTGCGCCGAGGAAATCAATACATTATATTTTACCTGAAATTAATCATAATTTTCATATGACCTCGTGTATAATCGACTATAATATCATGAAGCATGTAATCGTGCATTTTCTACAACACCAAGTTGTTATTTTTGTTGTATTATGCAGTTTAATGGCACAGTATCGGATTCTAATGTATTTATTATAAATGTCGAGAGATACGGGACATCCATTAAAATATGCTTTCTTTAGCCAAATTATTTTGCTAATTGCATCATTTATTGATTGTTGGAACAATGTAGAGCGTTAAAATTTCTACTATACATTATCAGAAATATCATTACAAAGAAACACTACGATTTTCTATAAATTCAGTAATTCCTGCATCCCTTAAAACTCGATGGTTTGACAAATAACCAAAAGTAGCTATAATTTCTTAATGATATTCATTCAGATTTTTGTTGTTTTTTTTTGTTTGTTTATTTGTTTTTTTTTTGTTTTTTTGTTTTTGTTTTTATGCTCTTTCTATTTTCTTTTATTAGAAAGTATTAAATACTGAAAATAAAAGGATGATAATGCACTGCCAACTATGAAGGCAATGAATAAAAAATATCTCCTGCAGCTAGGCTTGTAAAATTCAAAATATACTTTATTTACATTTGTCAACAATTAAATTATATTGACTTTATGCATATTAGCGGTTTGTTTGAATTTTAGAAAAAAAAAAAAAAAAAAAAATGAATAAAGAATGAAAAAAAAATCGAACATTAAAGTGACTAGGGCTAAATATTACTTTCTCACTATAAACGTTAACATTTCCTCTCTACTATTCAAATAATATGATCGAGCAAAATATCCGAAAAAATTTGCTTCGAGAACGACTAAGTACCAAGAAATTGAAACTCCAAGTGACAGGACTCTCATTTCTTGAGACCTCCATTCTTAACTAATTACCTGTATAATAAAAGACACGTGCTTTGAGCATTAGTTTGCGTCAGACACTGTAGGATGATGATTTTATTAATTTTCAAGCGAATTTCTCGACAGGCAACTTTACCCGACAGCCAACACCAAACGACTATCAATTACACCGTCCTCGTTTATTAGTGAACAATTACAAATTCAGCTGCTTTTTTCATCCGCTCCCCCCCCCTCCGATTCCCCTTAAATATTTGCAATCTGCGACATCGCCAAACAAACTCGTCCGACAATACAATAATAAAGGACAATTAATCTCGTCTGTTGGAATTAATCATCTAGCGAATACCTTCGAACTTTTTGATAAAAGCTTCTCCCCACTACCCCACCGCTCACCTCGCGACTCCCTAGCCAACGATCCCTCGTAAAGCAATAAGCCGCAATTGCACGGTTCGTGCACCCCTATCCCTCAGCCCTTTAATCAACACTGCGGCGATGTCCCATGGAAATTACCCCACTACTCGTCCTTACGTCGGCAATAATTAATGAGAACCTGCCGAGGCGGCAAGATAAAAGGTCGTTTAGCGTTTAGTAAGTGGATGAAGATTTAGGCTATGGAGGTCGGGGCATCATCACCTGTAGACGTAGCCTTTGGGCGCGGTGCGACGCTGCTTGACGATGTCGTTGTTGGGCCCGAGGCGCCGGGGATGAATCTCGTTGCCGACACGACGGGAATGAAGCTCGACGCTCGGCTCGTACCCCTGGAAGTCCTCGTAGCTGGGGCCCCGAGTCATCCTGGGCTCGCAGCTGGGCCCGCGAACCGCAGTCCGATGATCGCGATACGCCGAGGGCTGGTATTGGGGCTCGATGCTGGACTCACGGGGTGCGGGCGGCCGCCTCTGCTGGGAGAGAACGGGACCAACTGGGCCCTGATACTCGCAACTTGGTCCAGGAACTTGGTAGCGCCGCGGTTGTACCAACTGGGGCTCGAGGCTGGACTCGCGCGGCGTGGGCGGCCGCCTTGGATGGGAGAGTACAGGACCCTGGGGCTCGGAACTCGGCGGCCGAGGCGACATCCTCCGACGATGACCGGCGACCGGCGAGGGCCGCCGATGATGGCCCGAACTCTGGGCCTCGGGATTCGGAAGCCGAAGCTCGGTGGCGGGCACCCTAGGAGATGCCCTCCTCTGCTGTTGTTGCTGCTGTTGCTGTTGCTGTTGCTGTTGCTGTTGCTGTTGCTGCTGCTGTTGCTGTTGACGATGATGGTGTTGGTGTTGGTGTTGGTGGTGACGTTCGAGACTGGGCCCGCGCGAGGACGACCGCTGGCGCTGGCCGGATGAGGCCGGCATCGGGGCGTCGGCCCCGGCAGTGGGCGTCGCGGCGCGCGAGCCGAACATCTTGAATATCATGCACTTAGCGTTTGACAACGAGGACGGGGTCGGCAATGAGGAGGAGGCCGCCGGCGACGGCGGTGACGGTGGTGACGGCGGTGGCAGCAGCGACGGTGCGATGCGCTCGCGAGGCCGGGCGAGAGAGTGAA